TCCCGGTACTGTGTCAACTCTGGGCAAGAAATTTTTACATAAAAAAATGGTGAAGGAATGATGAAATAGAAGGGGCCCAGGGAGGCGCCAATCCTCCCGAGCATGTGTAGCTCAATGAATTTTCCTCCATGCCATCCTGGATGAATTTGAGGCAGATGCCGGACCAGTGCTTATGCACGAACTTCGCTTTCGAGGCGGTCTTTGTTGCATGCTATTCCCATGCGCAGAGGCAAAATGCTACTCAAGACTCGAACTGGGACACCGACGGGCTTATCTATGTTTAAAATCAAGCACAGAAGCCCTCGTGGATTAATAGAGAGGTTGCACAACAGCCATTGGAGCCATCTCGTGGCTTTTTTGACATGCGCGCCAAATGGCTCCACCCGCCAAATTATGACATCAATGGCTTCATATGGCTCCGTGGAGCCATTCACCTGTTATTTTTGTCTGCGGAATCCCCGCCCGCTGTCTTGAGCCTGATTTCCGCATATATTAGTTACGCGTTTCCAAGTCTTGAGGTGGAATCGTGGGGCAATCAACCAAGTTACAATGAACTCCGGGAACATATGCCTACTACCGGCGCACCATTCCAATATCCTCTCCGCCTTGTACATCCTCCTTTTGCCTGCAACCGCGTATGATATTTCACTTGCGGCATATTCTTATTCTCTTGCGAGCATCCTCTGGGACCTGGTAAAGTGCGGCCGCCACTCAATCAGCTAATACTTCCCCCGCCTTCCCCGTCTATGCATACAATGCACATTATTTTACAACAAATTTTGTCAACTCTGGAGCAAGTAAAAAACAAGGCCGCATTTGGAGCATGCCAAAAATGCGCCCTATTATTTAGGTTCAGAGAGAGGAGGAGGTGGCCCTTTTGGATGAAGGTACATCGCTCATAGGCTATAACTATGAGCTGGGAATACCATGTGTAAATGAGAGGCAGAGGTTCGAATCCTCCCAAGGGCATGCGCACGTCGTTTTCGCGGAACCTTTTACTCAGATATAATATGACCTACAATATTTTATTCTAACTACCTGCAGTTTCATTTAGGTATGTTGCCGGTGGACGTGAATTGCATATTTTCAGCCGCCAGCGCAGGTCATTTTTCTCTTCTTTTTGGGAAACCATTCTGATCTTTGGTCTGATCAGGGAGCCAGCCGCAGCCAGCACATGCATGGAACTTTATATTTTCCCCCTCTCTGGGAATAGGAATAATGTGTTGGACCTTTGAGACACCCGGGAAGACTTGAGGCAGATGACCACCACCTGCGCATGCTGAATTCACGTGTATTTAATTTAGTTACACAAGGAGCTGAAGAAGTAAAGGGTTGATATCAATGAATTGGGTATATCATTCCAATTACTTCAGAGTCTGCTCTAGTTCATGGAGCTAAGTGGATGACGGAGGTGCGAATGCTCCGGGTTCAGGGTACAACCTTGCCATTTTTTTGGCGTGCCGATGGAGTGGTGTTATATTTAGTTTCGACATTTACAGCCATCAAATGGGAGGCGGAGTTGTGAATCCTTCCAGGGGCGCAAGGTGCGAGAGTGACGTTTTTGGCTTGCAAAAGTGGCTTGCGCCCGCGCAGAATGGCTTGTTTCGGGCGTGGGCGTGGATTTTGGTGGCATCACCCGCCCACGCCCGGCATTTCGGCTTGCAAGCCACTTTGTTGGCTTGGCAAGCCATTGCCATCAGCAAAGTGGCTTGTGCTCATTGCTCAATATCTAGGACCCTATGGTTGAATCTGATATTATAGATACATTCCTGTATGTCCCCCGAAGGTACCGGTGATATCATTTGTTGCATAATTTTGAAATTTGGGGATTGCTCGTCATCGCCGTGAGAGTTGAGGAGGACAACTCACTCCCGACATGCAAGCCAGCGGGCTTTTGGGACTTGACTGATATAACAGGCTTGCTGGAATCAATTTATATTGAAAACGACTCAAGGAGTGGTCGCCATGTGAAGATATTCGCAAAGGTGCTTAACTTGCGGGACTTTTGAACCATATGTGTGTTATAAGTCTCCTAAACTGAAATCCAGACAGATTTCTTTATGAAAACACTTGAAAAACTCTGTAAGAATTGACACGACCCCTCTGGACAGTAATTTTGGGTTGTAGCTCTTGGTAGGTGGTACCACGATTTTGACTGCAACCAACCAAATGAGCATAACTACGAAACAATTTAATGTAAACTGCCCCAGTGAAGATATTAAAGTACTTTGGAGTATTATCAAGCCCAGGATGTGTCCAGGCATCGTTCTTTTTCATTACTGACAGAGTGGCTTGCGCAAGCCATTTTGTCTGATGCCATCAAAACGGGCGTGCGCACGGCTTGCGACGAAAAGTCAAGTGATTCAGATGATAATTGGGCCAACAGTGTGACAGACAAATGCAGTAGACTTGATCCTACTATGTTTCAGCAATATATTGTGGAATCGACGCTGGGTTGAGCGAAGTTGAACATGTGGATTGGCATCACAAGCCACTTTGTCTGATGCCATCAAACGGGCGGGGGCGTGTGGCTTGGGACGAAGATTAGTGAATTATGAGAAGGCGTGGGTGTACAAACCACTGGAAACCATTAATATATGCATATGATGTTGTTCTATACATCCAAGAAATTCTTTTTATGTCCTTGCTCATCACCGCAAACAAAATGGCGGGTGCAAACCATTTTGTCCAACTGGTGTGCGTGGCTTGACAATTAATTAGGTGTAGGAATGCATATATACAGTCGACCAAATGTTATTCTTGAAGACTGGTAGGCACAGGCATGAGTCAGGGCTTGAGCAAAATGGCGCCGTGTGCTCAAGCGATTGAAGTGCGCTGGAATGCCAGGACTGCACAACAGAGAATAAATAAATCCTGGAAGCTCGCTTGTTATATTAAATCATTTTAGTAGACAAATTAATGGCTACATTTATAAGCACTGTCTTGAAATCTCTCAACACTCCTGGAAATTGGGTTTTGTGTCAGATTTGTCTGGCGGCTGTCTTAGGTGTGGCTTGCGGCAACGGGTTTGTCTGCCTGAAAATGGCTTGGGTGTGCCTTGTATTTAAATTAGGCGTGGATGGCAGGTTGATTGGCTTGTGATGCCCACTTGCTGCATAGCGTGTATATTCAGTTGTTCAATTGTCGACCTCGTGAGGCTAAACCGCCTTACAACAAAAATAGAACTTAGGACTTTCCCAACAATGATCGTCACTGCCGTGTCGCACTGCCGTTCTCGAGGACGACAGAATGAGCAAACCACAGAAAGAAGGAGAAAAAAATGAAGGGGACAGTTGTCAGTAGTTGTTGGTAAAATGTGAACGGCATTGTGGCAACAGTGGCAGGTATTGAGTTCACTCTCCCAGAACGATGCCACCAATGTGGGGTTCCCTCCGCACCGGAATGAATGTATACACTTGCTGGATACTATAATACACGAGTCGGTGAGGGAATAGTGTTGAAAGTGCGAGAAATATTGTTTTCATCGCGCAAAGTAGGTAGCACGATGTCAAGGGGCAGTCTTGTGATAATGGTGAGGAATGGAGATTATTTGGAGGACGAAAACAAAAGATATGCATGAATTTTTGACAGTGCAAGGCCTTGGTGTAAGCGAGCACAAGTCACGCCACGCCACAAGCCACGCCGTCCACGCCCGCCAAGCCAAATTTAAACTCCGCTAAGCGGCGCAAGCCATTTAGCCAAGCCAATCGGATAAGTCTGCGCAAGGTGCCAAGAAAAGGGCTTTTGGCAGCACAGGCACAGCAGATTCTTAATTTTTTATGCAAGCCCAGAAAGATTATATAGACCATAAGTAAATACTACTTGAGAATCTGAAACAACGACACCGACGGGCTATTGATTCAGTCATATCTATGCTCACAATAAGGTACAGCAGCCTTCGTGGATGAACTACCATATCGTTCATTTCTCACGCATCGGAAGCTCAGTCAGAGATTCGAATCCTCATGAGGGCATGTCGTGGATGTTCCAATTCTCCTCTTCTTTGCTTCTCCACTGTTCAAGCTGCGAAGTAGATGATCCACTGGTATCCAAGAGAGAAACTAGGCGCTCCTGGATGAATATCCACATTACTTATGGGAGTCAGAGGGAAAAATAAAAAAGGAAGGCGGAGGTTTGAATTCGTGCGGGACAATCAGCCACTAGAAACCCGGATTTGCTCACAGTGCGAGCGCACAAATGCAGCTCTTTTTCAAGCGGATATGGCGTGATTAATAAGGAGCCGATAGATATCCCCAGTGTGGATTGATTCTACCGGGCGTGAGGCGGTCGGGATGGAACCCGCGAGGAACATTGTGTGAGATATTGGTAAATGCGGGTAGAGTGTCGGCAGACGTCGCACCGCCTTATGCGACGATATAATCTGTGTAGCCCGCTGCGCGGCAAGGCCCGCTATCATCAATCTCCGTGGCTCTTTATTAATTATTGTTTTTAATAAGCGATGTACGAGCTTCATCCACGTCGAGACTAATTATGGTTCCAACGGAATGAGGGCAGTTTCAATTTCCATGTGGTATGCAAGGATCTAGGACAATGGACAAATATGCAGCCCCCTTACCACAAGATCGACTATGTCCAATAAAGAGAATATGGATTTGAACAGAATTTCGAAGTACACTTATCAAAAATGTGTGGGTGAAGCCTTTAAGTGCCAAAACTCTGGCTGGCAAACACCAATAATTTGGAGGCAAGAGGGCACTGTTGGAAAAGATTTATTAAATTCTGGCCCCCAGAGTGGAGGTTCTAATCCTTCCCAGGACATGGAGGCGTAGTCGCTGTCTTTTTTCTTTCTTTCTTTTCTTTTGTCTTTTGATTTTATTCAATCATTTGGAGCACTGCGCGCATTCAACTCTGAATCTGGGAGCGAAAATCAATAATGCGGTTGAGTAACTGTGTCCGACGGGGTATGGCTATACACATCGAAAATTATGTGTGCCAGTGGGCGAATGGTTATCAATCAGTCAACAGATCTAGGGTGAATAGCCCCTGTGGATGAAATGGTGCATCATCCATGCCTTGTGTGCACTGTATGAGATTGGCGATACATAAATGGAAGGTGGAGGTTCGAATCCTCTCCGGGGCATGGAGGAAGACCGACTTTCTTTTTATTTCGCCATCCTGGGAAGAAGATCCGAGGTAGTTGTCGGACCCGTCTCAGAGCATATGTAGTGAACTTTCGCTTTCGAGGCGGTCTTCGTTTTGTCTTCGTTGGATGGATGCTGTTCACAGGCGCAGAGACAGGAAACAAAGCTACTTAAGATTTTTCAAACAGGAATATTGACGGGCTGTTGATTCAGTCATATCTATGCTCATAAGAAAGCATAGAAGCCTTCGTGGATGAGCTGCCGCATCGTTCATTTCTTACGCATCGGAAATCAAATCAATCAAATCAAAATTCCATTAGAGTGCGCGCGGGCCCCTTGGGGCCCATGTGGCACTATACTTAGTACATGTAGGTAAACTAGCTTAATGCGGAGAAGGTTGGCAACGGTGTAAGTTAGGGAGAGAGATGGTGAACTCGGGGAGGCGCTATGAAGGTAGTATATGAATTTTGGCGAGGCAGGGTGTCTAATCTATCATGCAGTATGAGTGGTAAGAGAAAAAATAAAAGAGAAAAGAGAGAGGTCCGTATTCAGAGCGCGTATCGGGGGAAGCGGCCAGTGTCACGGACAAAGCGGAGCACCGGTTTGGGGTCCGACTTCACCGCGAGGAGGCGGCGGAGTGATAGGCGGGCTGTGCCGAGACTGAGAATGAATTTGAGGCGTTCGCGGCGGTAGCGGGGGCACGAGAGGAGGAAGTGGGGGACGGTCTCCGGGACAAAGCAAAGGTCGCAGTCGGGGAAGGGAAATTCTGGCGCTCAAATGGCAGGCGGAGGTTCGAATCCTCGTGAGGGCATGCTGTATCGGAATGTAACGTTTTTTTTACTTAACCACTGCTCAAGCAGATAAATCACCCTGATAAAGGTGAGAAATAAGCCGTCGTGGATGAACATCTACACTATGTCTGGTAACCGCAAGCAAAACTGAATGAAAGGCGGAGGTTTGGATTCATCCGGCGTGATGTGGCCGTGAGCAGAATGTGGTTGTACCCAATGAGGAAGATTGTGAAGCCGATGGGAAGTATTGGTAGAATTGCGGACGGTAGCCGTCCTGGCTTTCGGTGAGTGCCTGGGGACTGCTCAAATATTAGCGCAGACAAGGCGGGGAGGGGAGACTGAGTGACTCTGGGGTAACAAAACGATTTGACCCTGAAAATGATGGGGTACCTGCGGTGTGAAAATAATACATTTGGATTGCATTTGGACAAAGATTCTTACAGGCAGGCTAAGTCCCAGTGCGCAGCTGGGTGCGCATGCCGCAGCGATATGAGAAATTGAGAGTGCTTGTTTCTTTTTGCTTTCAGTATGTAAATTTGAGTGAAAGCCATCACATTCGGCGCAAGCTGCAGAGTGCCTGGATGAGCCCAATATCCACCCAGAGGTCGGGCTTCGTCTCCAGCCACATTGGCGCGCGAGATTGTCGGGGGAAAGCGGGTCAGTCGGAGAACCGGCCGACTTGTTCCGACCGCTGCCGAAATGCACCGCCACGCCCAGCTGCTCCTCCCTCAGTTCTGCGCTAGTCCATCTCCGCGACACTACATCGTCTCATGCGACGACAACGCTGACGTTGGCATCTCATCAACGTTCAGTGCCAGCCAGCTTCGAGGCTCGCCTCGCGCACTCGAACGGGCAGCTCGTTGCTCTTGCCTTCATCGGCGTGAAACCCTTGGTGTGAATACCACTGGCCTGATATGAAGATTGCGAAGCACGACGCTGGGGACGGAACGGCGGCGAGGATGAAAGAAAGGAGAAGAGCGGCACCAGTGCACAAGTAGTCCGAGGCGAGTGGCAAGCTGCTCTTTTTCATTGGCCCGGGATCGTCCGTTGTTCCTAGCCCTCCTTGTCGGAACGCATATCGTCCTCTCCTTCAGCCGCCTTCATTTACTAGGCGCCTCTCCCCCCCGCATTCCTTCCTGCGATATTCCCTCCAGATTCCTTTTTCCTTGCACCCCACTGCTCCTATGCGCCCCTTCGCCCATTCCACCATCCGCTTCCTGAATCCATCCCATCCCACCCCACTCCACGTTTATGCTTCTCAGCCTCCACCCTACGTTCTGCTTCTCGCCGCACACTGCTTAAACTGACTCTCTTCTCTTCACCGCGCATTCCACGACGCCCACGTTCCTGCTTCGGTCGTTATACCGCGCACCATCCATCCGTCCTGCGTTCTACCTTCCACTCCCTCTTCCACTTCTGCGCCGTTCTTATCTTACCACCCCTTCCACGCATCCCGCATGCGCTTTCTCTGCGCGTCGCATCATATCCTCCCATCAACTCCCCTCTTCGCCGCTCCCCCTCCCTGCCATCCATTCCGCTTCCCACTCCTCGCATCCCGCGCACTGCTTCTCATCCCATCCCATCCGCCCCTCGTTCCCCCGCACCCGCTCCTCGTTACCCCTTGGCCCTACACCCGCATAATATATGATACCCAGCGGTACTTCTCGTCTCGTGGTATTACAACCACACTAGTGCTCATCCTCTGTACATATCCCCGCCTCTCCGAGTCTTGTTAGCCCCAACATGCCTCCCTGCCAGGCTGCCTCCCGCGCTCCAATTATTACCATCCGTGCATAGGCTTCCTATTGGCATTCTGGGCACTCCGATCTACGAGAACATACACCGGCGCGTTTGAAATAAACAAATCCCCTCTGGTGGTGCCGTTGCACTTCAAACCTCTCCCCATATTTCTTTTGGAACACGTCGTACACTCAATTTCTCCAATGTCCTCCGCATCTACGTCTTTGCTTGTCCCGATAATCGTGCCGCGCCACGTTTCTCTGCAATAATTTCTCCCGCCAACAATTCTACACCATTCTCTTCAACCACTACCGTCCTCGCTACATACCATCCCGTCCCAACTCACAGATATTCGCTCCGTCGTCTTGATATCTACCAGGATCCTCGCATGTCTCGCAAATCCGTCCACTCCTTCGCCTGGAACACTCCCGCAGTCCCAACAAGAAGCACAGCAGAAGGAACCCCCAGCGCGTGCTAGCGCCATGGGAATCTGTATCTATCGCAACCTCCACCGCAATACCCCAGACGCGCGGTGCCTCGTGATCGGCACCTTATATGTACTGCATTGCGCAAGACTGCAAGCTGCGATGTTTTTTCAAGCTAATCCCCATATCCTCCCGCGCACGTACTCTTCTTTCTTTTACACTCCTGACGAACTGCTTCGACAGCGACCTTCCCGTCTTGAGACGCTCCCGCTCGGTCGACACTTACAATATGCGACGCCGAGAATGAAAAACCCTACTCCTTCACGAGTTCCAACTGGTTCTCGTCGCCTCGGGAACGGCGGATGCGCAGCAATGGCGCTTGAATTTAAAGGACCCTCGCATTTTCTGCTCATCTCTGTGGTGCTTGTAGTCTCATTCTTTGCGCGCCCCCCGCACGCATTCACGGCAGCCTTTTTTTTGCGGTCACTCGTGTATGTATCTACGCCTCCCAGTCTTTCCAATTTCGCCGAAGTTCCTGTTCATTTGAAATTATATCGCTTTTGCCAATTAATTTTCTTCCTACTACTGTTCGCCGCGCGCACAATCTTTGTACCGGGAAAAATACTGAACTCGGGATCCGCACGATTCGCTCTACATACGGCCAAAGCGGCGAATAGCTGGTACGTAGTAACATCTACTATTAGGCCAACATGACCTGATATATCGACGGTTCTCTGCAGCGCTCATCTCTCAATGGTCATCGCATCACACGGAACACGAAGTCCCCACCAGCTTGCATCTAGATTCTATAATTGGAACAGGCGCTGTTGGCGGCGCCAATGTGCATAACATGTGGTTATATGTGTGTGAATATTACACATCCTTCCCACACAGTTTGGAATCGATTGGGAAGTCGGTGAGACAAGCCCTGCTGCGATGTTGAGTAACAACAACCTCGCAGTATTCACGTATCTCTTGGGCCTTATCTCAAAAACCACAGCTCAGCAGACGGACCTTGGGATCGCTGGGCCGCTCTTTCCACGGCGCAGGCGCTCAATCTAGATCCTGCTGTTGATCATGATACTAGGCGCTAATCACTGCGTTTCAAGGGCGGATCGGCAGAGTAGGTTGACTTGGGCTGACGTCAGTGGACTTCTGCCGACCCGGCGCGGCAAACCCTGCCGAGTCTGGATCGGCAGATCTGTGCCGACCTGGGTTGACGCCTCTGCCTACCCTCTGCCGACTAGCTCCACACAAAATATTTTCTGCCACTGTCAACCTCCAGATTTCCACCAAAATTAGTCCCCAGACCAAATTGAGCCCTCCGAATGCAATGAGAGGGGTTGCGAGACGTAATTTCTTACGGCAGAGGCTTCCCGGTGTACCGTAAATCAGGGTCGGCCGAGCTCTGCCGACGGGGCTCGGCAGAGGCTCTGCCGACGAGGCCTTGAAACGCAGTGAATGTCTTCGGTATTAAATGGCCGAGTCAATTCACGCTCCCAAGGATCCCCATCTCCTGCCATGAAGAAGTTTATGTTTTTGACCGCTTTTCTGGCGACTGTGGCCGCGGGGGCTCTGCATAACATTTCTCCCTACAGCCCCGGCGACGACTGTCGTCTTAGCGCGTCGGTTCGAGCAGAGGACCTAGCCCCCAGCCGCATCTCCCACGGTGCGCAAGGTGGCGCCACCGTCGAGTGATATTCATTGCATCCCTATAGGTGAACTGCGCATCAAGGTAGCTGAGGCCTGCGCTAGTCAGATCGCGTCAGTGGCCCTGCGCCTCCAGCTCTCTGAGTTCGGCGAGGTAAAGCACCTGCGGCATGGCGCGGTTATCCCTCAGATCCAAAGAGCCGAGAATATAGACACGACGGACGACATTCCGCATTCTGTACCCACCAACTCGACGAATACGCGCTACGATTATGGACCTTACGATGCGGCGATGAGCGACCCCGATTTATGGGTCGTCAAAGCTGAGGAGCGTACATCTTGGTCCACTGAGGCCGTTCTCTTCGACAACAACCCAGGTCAGCAACCAAGAAT